ATTCCCGCCTTGAGCGTCAGCCCGAAGGACCAAAGGTTGCTATTTGGTCTGGATAAGCAGGCAAGGACAGGCTCTTCGAGCAGATACCATTCCAATGGAGAAGCTCATCTTCCCATTACTGGCGAAGAACTCAAGGGCTCCAAACTCCTTAGGTCTTGTTTTGTAAGCTTGAAGCTTTGAAACCTGTCGAGATTAACTTACCACTCCACTAACCTAAGCTTACCATATAAAGTAGATCACTACCGAAACCCGTACCGTACACGCTGCTTTCTCGGCTTCACCTCTTTCTGACAACGCCAACCCTCCTCGTACGCTTTGAGGGACTGAGCCTTTGAATCCCACCTTATTGGTCTTCTTTCCACTGTCGCTGAGAAATGTGGAACGCATAGCGCTCTTTCACTGAGAAATACCCTCCTTTTTTTTGGCTTCGCCTTGTGGTCAGAACCGAGACATATGGTTTTGTTATAGAAAAGAAATGTCACTAAGGGGCTCAACCGCCTTATCAGTAGATCTCCCTCCGTCCTATTGTACCTCTAGCAAACAACAAAGATGAACTTCGAGTTGCCATTCTCTTTTTGAATATGGAATTCCGGTGGGGCATATCTTTATAAAAGAAAGCCCTATTTTTGTTAGCTGTTAGCGCACAGTAGCCCATCTCATGATACGGAGAGAACCATTTGATATGACATACATAATATAGAGCTGGAAGCTGCACTAATTGATAAGAGAAGACTGGACAACAGCAAGACCATACAGATGGCATCGCGAATCCCCTACCAAAGTGATTGAACCACCACTTCTTGATCCGTTCTTTCCAGCGATCCTCCTTGCATTTATGCCGGAGCCGTCACCAGTGCTATGGCCTTTAGCTTATGTAGATAAAAAATGATGAATAAGATTGTGGCACTCCACTCGCCGCGCTCCTTTATCGCGCGGAGCGGCATACTAGAAAAAAGTAAGAAATTGTAATCCCCAATGACAAAGGAACGAGCATTTTCGGGGACTAGTTCGCCAAATTGTACGTGAGAGTTTCCCTTCATACCGCTCGAATCATTCTCAGACGGGTATGGGGGAGAAAGTCAGGAAAGAATCTTTTTCAAGACTTTTCCAGATTCAACATAATCCTCATATTATTTACCGTAGTCTTCAAAATGATATAACCACTTACTGGGCCCTCTTTGCACTGTCACACCACTATTTAGTGTGGTTGGCGAATGAGTTACCTCTTCCTCAGAACCGGCCTTTCACCCGTTATGCGGTGCTCGGTGATGACATAGTAATTGCCGACCCGAAGGTGATTCCTGGGATTTAGATATGCAACACTTTACTCAATTGCTAAGTTAATAGGATTCATCAAGTAGCCAACAAGTTACAAGCTAGCTAGTAAAGGTGTTAATTTGATCTCGAATTTTTATTTAATAATGCTTTAGAATTTTGCGCATTTTTGGTTCTGCGTATTATTGAGGGGTTTCTGAAATACATCTTCATCTCTTAGTACGTAGAATAACTTTTGCCGTATTTTTTCAACCTTAGCTTCGATCATGCAATTTTCAGTACCAGCTCCTTCTCTAAGCCAATGAGCAATTGCCCAAGGCCCCCTAATAATTAAGAGTCCTAATCAATTATATATATTTACTATGGTCATTTTACCATAAAACTAAAATAAAAGTAACAGATCAATGTTTTGGAGATACTCTCTTTAAAATATGAGATTCTTGGGCTATTGTGCATGCAAATCACCTTATTTATAGGATAATTCAATAATTAAATCCTCCATTTGTTTGAAACACTACCAAAAATTTTGCTGCGCCTGCACACACTTCAGAAATGGCGAGTTGTTGGCTTTATGAATTCCAAAAGGCTCAGGTTAAGGTGCGGTTACCAGAGGCTCAAACTGAGCGTAATTTGTTCAAATTGAATGTGGATGCATCTGTCTTTGCTTGTCACCATTCTATTGGTTTTGGGGAATTGATTCGGGATTCCACGGGTTTTGTCATTGGGAGCTTTTTCTAAAAAGCTACCTGGAATCCACTCCCCTCTCATGGCAGAGTGTGTAGCAATTCGTGAGGGCCTTTTATTTGCTGAAAGCAGTGGCCATAGGGTCTGGCTGGTGGAAAGCAGTCCGTGCGGTAATTGATCCTAGTTGTTACGCTGCAATGTTTCCAATTCTAAATCATATCAAGATTTTGATGAGTGATGGTGGTTCTTGCAGTCACATTTCTCGTAATAGTAATGGGGCTGCCCACATATTACCAAAACTTTCTTTTATGTTGGTTGAAAATCATTTCTGATTAGAGGAATATTCTAGTTGTATTGCTCGTTTTGTAAGTGCCAAGATGACCAGTTTTTACTGCATTACACTTTTAACTAAAAAAACTACCAAAAATTTTGTTTTTAAGACCTTAATGTTTATATTTTTTTAAGCAATCGAACAGCTATATAAAGAAATCTGCATATATTATACATCAATGACTATATTCGCTTTGATTACTTCTCTACTAAATACAAAATGCCTATTTTCATTCACTTATAAGTATATTATGCTCCCAAACTTCGTTGGTTTAAACTTTTTTATTTGAACAGAAAAATTCATACTGTATGGTTTAAATTGTAGTTTAAATTGATGTTTGGATGTATAGTTAAAATTTTATTTTGAACAGGGAATAAAATTTAAATTTGTGTTTGGTAGGTGTTAAAAGCAAAGAGAGTTGACACTTTTTATTGTTCAAAAATGGCTTGAACGGTTGAACTTGAGAGGGGAACTAAACTTTAAGTTAGGTCGTTTAGCTCAGTTCAAACGTGGAATATAATTCAAACTGTATGTTTACCAAACGACAGTTCAAACTGTGCTCACTGTTCAAACTGAGCTAAACTGAGCGAACAAAACTGAACTAAACTAATGCAACGAACATGGGCTATATTAATCTGATTTACAATTTCAAAAACATTAACAAATTAAGAATAGAAAAAGCTGGAAAAAGATAAAAAGCTCCAATCTCTCTTGATTCTTTTTTATGCCTTTATTTATTTCCTTCTCACTCATTAACCTTATTCATAGAGTTTTCCAAGTTGATATCTTTCTTTCATACTTCTTTCTTGCCATTTTATTGATTGCTATTGTTTGAGATTTACAGTAGCTATTTTGTTGGATAAAATTTTGTTGAAAAACATATTATTAGATAAACTTGAATATATATATTTAATCAATACTTTCTTATCCCAAAAGCAAGAAAAAATAATTTAAAATAGGTTTAATTGATTTTTTATATAATTAAATATCTTTTTAATATGAGAAAAGACTCCTTTTAAAATTTTCGCCTGAAATCTCTAATTTGCGCTCTTTTTCCTTTTGCCGGGTTTTTTCCTTTGGGCTTTAGCATCATAAGATTATAAGGAGCATCCTTCTAGTTTTTCCATCAGGAGTAGATCATGCATTTGCATGGTGATTCTTGTGGTTGTCTTTGTGGTAGTGTTTTATTTTTTCATTCAGAATAAAATCATTTTGGTATCCCGCTGTTATTTAAAAATATCTCAAAGGTATTCTATGTTTTTAATGGTATTAAAAAGAAACCTTCACATCTAAAAAAAACTGTTATTTTGGTAATCTGAGGTTGATGTTTGGGATATAAACGGTCTTTTCTTCCTTTCTACTGATTTAACCATTGTTTTAAATATCAAAAGATCTCTCTCTCGTGTGGCGAAGCTGATGGGCTGGCATCACTTCTTGTTGGGCGCGACAAGGAGTGGGGTCTTTTGGATATATACCACGGTGTAGATCGAAGGCGGGAAAGGGAAGCTGGGTGCCAATGGGGGGCAAGGTCAACGATGATGGAGGTGGAGAAATCTGAAAACTATATTTGTGTTTTTTTTCCTATTTCTTTTAGAAATTAAGTTTTAGGACTTGTTCAGTCCGCCGATTTGAGTTTTCAATTCGAGTTGAGATGTGACTTTATATGAGAACTTTTAACTATAACAAAAAAGTTAGATGACTTTTTATTAGAGCTTTTAACTGTAGTAAAACTGAAATTGAAAAACTCAAATCGATAAGATGAATGATGCCTTATAGCTTTTATTTTGTATAATTCTTTTTTAGTATTTCTCATTTTTTTCTTTTATATTTTAGTATGTTTTTAGAGGTGAAGGATAGAAAGGACATTGTATGGTGCAAAAATTGATCAAAGGGTATCGAAATGGTTTTTAAAGGTGAAGATACTTTTTTAATGTTATTAAAAACATAAGATATTTATGTACTTTTTAATTCTGTGTTATTTGTTTCAGTTGTCTAGAAATACACTTTGAAAGTTCTTTTTTATTTTAGGCGCTAACTTAGTTGGGATGTCCAAGTTGGCCTTGATAATAGTTTTCTTTATCTTTTTTTATTTTAAAAAATATGTTTAATTAATTGTTTATTAGATATGATAGCTCTTATATAATAGGAGTTAACTTAAGTAGGAAGAAATTTAATCGTAAAATATATCTGAATTTTGCCTGAAGACATGATCGGATGTGTTTCTGGATTGATATAATTCTTCCTAGTTTTCTTTGATATTGTTGTTTAATTCACTTATAGAGAGATCGACATGTTGAAGAGAAATACAAGTGAACAAGAAACTTATAGGTTTGAAGTAAGAGTGCAAGCAACTAAAGGATGCTTTACCTTTTCATTTTGACTTTAACAATATCTGTAACTCGATATAATAAACACACAAGATTATCGAACAAGGCCATGTTATTGTACGTCAATATATTATTTGAATACTGGATGAAGATATGTACGTTTGCGGTTATATAGCTGTGAAATCCTTGTGCTTATATCTAAATATCTATATGAGTGCGCGCGCGCGCGTAAATCTTCATTTTGGCTATGCGTGAAAAGGCAACATTTTTGTGTTATTTCGATTTCCTTTTTTTTATGTGCTTTGAAGGTCCAGCCTTAAGAAACTGTGAATACTATGCTCGCTGTCAAATGCTAAATACTGATGTTAGCTTTCCTTAAATAGCAGCATGGAGGGGATCCTGGAAAGATATGAAAGATATTCATACGCAGAGAGGCAGCTTCTTTCAAATGATCCTGAACCCAATGTAAGCTACCATTATCCTGAAAATACCTGAATTCGAGTTATATTGCATTACTTTTCCCTTGTTATCAGGAATACATAATAAACATAAATCACATTTAGATCCAAGTGAGTTCTGGCGCTATTTCTGTCCCATTATAAATTTAACTGTATTAGATACCAAAAGTCTCGTACAGAATAAATACAAGATGATTAGTGGGTTTATAAATCTTGAATAAATACAAGATGATTAGTGGGTTTATAAATCTTGGATTCTCTCCCCTTGCAAGCTGGTTTTGTAAGGGTGAGTTCTATCTAATGAATTTATAACAACTGGTATTAGCACGTCCTTTTGTAACTGTTGCCCATGGATAGGGCGACCGGGGGGGTGGTGGGGGGGCTGTTACCCAATTGAAAGGGGGATCTGCGAAGTTACCCATTTGGTTGGGCGGCTGTGGAGTGTAGTGGAATATTAGATTACAAAAGTCCCATATGAATAAATATAAGATGATTAGTAGGTTTATAAGTCCTTGGGTTCCCTCTCCTTGTAAGCCGGTTTTGCATGGGTGAGTTAAGCTCTACGGAATAGGTCTATAACAAATTGTAACTACAATTTCTCTCTCCTTTTCTTATTCTCTCCAGATGAACTTCTTGTATGATGAGAAATATATACTAACCAATGCCATTGATCTTCTAGGGAAGCTGGAGTCTGGAACATGCAAAGCTCAAGGCTAGGATGGACGTTTTACAAAGAAATCAGAAGTACAAGCTTAAAATATATACATGTACCATCCACAATATATATATATATATATATATATATATATACACACACACACTAAACTGTTGGGGGAGAAAAACTCAACTGTATATACTTTACAATCTTTTGCAGGCATTTCCTGGGAGAAGAACTTGATTCCTTAACTCTCAAAGAGCTTCAAAATCTGGAGCAACAGCTTGATTCTGCACTCAAACACACAAGGTCGAGAAAGGTGAAGTCAATGAACTCTTGTAATATTATCTTGTCTTTCGAATTAAGCCAATATAGATTGCTTGGTGAAACTGAGAAGCTTTGGACGATTTGCAGAACCAAGTCATGTATGAGTCCATCTCAGAGCTCCAAAAAAAGGTATCTCTTAGCTTATTCCTATAACCATAGCACTTAATTATAAGTAATTGTGAGGAACCATTAGTTGATCATTTTGTTTATTTCCTGTTTGTCATGATAGGATAAGGCATTACAGGAGCAAAACAACCTTCTGACAAAACAGGTGAACATTTTCTTTGGCCACAAATAGAAAGTCCTTTAGGTTCTCTCTCTGTTATGTGTACATATATGTATAACGGATTCAGACCCCCCGTCAAAATGTTAGTCCTATATATGCCATGTTATAATGTGACTGGTTAGAATCATTTAAAATATCAAAATTGGATGGGAAATCTAAGTTGAAGTGTAATATTGCCCATGTATTTGAGTCTAATTTGTATTTCGTGAATCCCCAATAACAGATGAAGGAGAAAGAGAAAGAGTTGGCCGAACAGACACAATTGGGGCAGCAGAATCATAATTTGGAAGTATCGTCCATCCTCTTAGCACAGCCAAATCAATCCTTGAATGTTGGGTTAGTCTCTATTTATGCTCGTCTTTATTTATGCATGACCAACTCAAATTGGAAAAACTTCAAATGTCATCAGCCTTTTGTTCAAATAAATTCTCATATGCTGCATTACATAAGTCTCATATACTACGTAACCGTTTGTGATTGACCTAAAAAGTAAAGGGGAATTGTCATCACCAATATTTACACTTAAAACTGTTCTTGAATATCAAATATCATCAACGTTTGAGTTAGTGCAAAAACACACGCACACACACACACACACATATATATTATTATATGTATACATATGTAACTACCTTATTGGAGAACTAAGATAGGCAAAACAATATGTGAAAATTGCAGAGTGTCTTGTTCCCCAAGAAGTGATGGATTAGCAGAAGATGAAGCTACCCAACATCAAAACCGAGGCAATGCCCTTCTGCCCTCTTGGATGCTCAACAATCTCAATGCATAGAACAGTAACATTGTCTTCTCCTGTGTATGCGTTTACTGTGTCCACATATATAGATATATGTATATATATATATATATAACACATACGTATATATATACAGGTACACCGGCCTAAACATGGATATTTTTGTGCGTAGCCCAAATAGAAAGAATATCTCATTATCTCCAATTGTAAATATGTTGTCAGGTGTCCTCGAACTTACTAGGATAACCCGAAGAGAGGATAGTGTACCTGTTGTTATTTTTATGGGCTTCCACAAACGACCATCCTTTTTTTTTTATTATTTTCTATTGCACTCAAAACATATACGCACAAGTACGTGTTCAAATGCTAATTAAGTTGGTGCAGAAGGGTCTATAACGGCTGCTTTTTTTGTTTGCTTTTTTGCTACAATATAACAGCTATCCTTAATTTTGTTGTATACACACTCTTTTCCTTTTTTTTTTTTTTTTTTTTTTTAAGTTTTGCGCTGCGATTCTCTTTTTAGCTTGTTTATGAAGATCTGTTAAGCATCTTCCTTGATTTTCAGTTTTCCAAGCATTTTCTTTTCTTTTGTTTTTTTTCTGGGTGGCTGTTATGGAACTTATTTTTGCTGTAATTGGCGTGCATTAAACGCGAGTTTTGAATGGACAGGCACTTTTTTGTCTGTCGTAGATCGTGTTACAAACCCATTAGGTGAAACTCACTTTTACAAAATCGGTTTGCAAGGAGAGCAGACCCAAAATTTATAAACCCTCTAATAATCTGATATTTATTCCATTTTTAGTATCTAATAATCCTATATACTCTACAACCACCATCCAAGGGCCCATCTTTCTAGCTAAGTGCACTACAAGAATTTTGGTTTTTTGTTACCAAAGAATTGGTAGCAATGATTTTAGTAGCAATAGTTTTTCGCTACTAAAACTTTGTAGGAGCTAAAGACCGGTAGCAGAAAGTTTTTGCTACCAATAAAAATTTGGTAGCAAAAATTTCTGCCACCAACTTTTGGTAGCTAAAATTGAACAATTTGGTCTGAAAAATGGACCCAATTAGTAGCTACTAAATTTTGATGGTGGAAATATTTTAGTAGTAAAAAGCGAATAATTTGTTACCAAATATTTGGTTATGGAACGTTTTTACTACTGAAAACTTTAATAGCCAAAAACTTTAGCTACCAAAAGAAATTGGTAGCGAATACACTTTCAGTAACAAAAAGAGAAGAATTGACTACCAAATATTTGGTATTGAAACGTTTTTACTAAAATTTTTAGTAGTAAAAAGCTTTAATTACTGAAAAAATTGGAAGCGAATACACCTTTAGTAGCAAAAAGTGAAGAATCTATCACAACCTGCTGCCAACCACTTACTATATTAGGCCGGCGATGGATCGTGACGGAAAAACATGACATGCATACATACATATAATACCACATTTACGGATTTTTTTTTTCAAAGAAATATATATATATATATATATATATATATATATAACATAAGTCATAATAATGCAACAATATTTAAACTTTTAAAAGCTTACAAATCCTTAATCAAAACACAAATTCTAAAACTTGAAAGCGAAAAGGTGTTTCAAAGGGAATCTTTAATTAAAAATATTATATCACGGAAATCATATGCACAAAGCAACGAATGCGAGATCTGCAGCAAAACAAAAGTAAAGGAACAAATCAAAGGCAAAACAGAAAAGAAAGAAAGGGAAAG